GGGGGAACAGGGCGTACGAGGGTTTGTCGTAGTTGGGTTGGATTTTAATGCTTGTTAAGTTTTTTATTGTTGAGTTTTTAACTTTTAGATTTTATTGAGTTTATTTATTTGTTATTTATTTATTTATTGGCTTTATTACGAATTTATTTTAATTTATTGAGTTTATTAGAATTTATTTTAACCTGCTGTTGAATTTTTTTTGGGTTAAATTTTAATGGTTGTGGTTTTTTTTTTAGCCCGGTATTCGTGTTTTGCTGGCACCTTATATGAAACTTGAGGATAACGATCAGCACTTCTGTCCCGCATTCAAGGAATTCTCCACTCCGACCAATTTTCGACCCATTTATTTCGGTGAAGCAGCTGGAAGATCACTGTTCCATAAAGCGACGCCTGAATACATCAAAAAGAAAAAGTATGATTTATTTCATTATTAATTTTGATCCATTAAGCTATTTTTGTTTTTTTTTTTGCCGCATATTTTACTTTCATACCGTCTAATTGTGCTGCTGAATGGAAATGTGTGTAATTTTAATGGACAGAAACACTCCTGTCATCGGATTACTGTTTTGAAATATGTGTTTTTTTACTTTGTTTCATATTTTGTTTAGCCTTCTGTTTAGGGTAAGGAAAGTTGCAAAATCAGTTGTGAGCCTCAGGTTGAAGAGCGGGCTCTATACTGCTTTGGTTTTTGCATGATTTTTGATTCCAGGTCATTTTCACATATTGTTTAGGAAATTGAATTTTATCTGCTGCCGGGAATTGTGTACATAATACCTGAATTTATTTTTAATTTTTATTTTTTCGCAACTTTTTAATTAAGTTATGATAGCGATAAATTAATTTTTTAGGCTTGAATCGAAGAAAAACAAACCTCGGGCGAAATCACACCGTGGACCAGGATTCTGTGATATTTGCATTCGCGAATGCCCCGATTTACAGCTGGTTTGTTGAATTAATCTTCCAGATTTCTCGTATTTTTATGCGTTTTTTGCATCTGTGCAATGCAAAAACGCATATTGTCAAGGGGCTTCTATGTGTGTGTTTGTGTGTGTCTGTGTGTGTGTGTGTCTGTGTGTTCGTCTGTACTGATTTTTTATCTCGGGACCTGCAAAAGATACAAAGCTGAAACTTTGAGAACTTCATCTATGTACATGTACGGGTCCCTGTCTTCGAAATGGACGCTTTTACCCACGTGTTTTCCACGTACGAGGCCGTGAAAGTTTTTGGTGGGTAAGCTGATAACTCGGGGACCAGAACAACTAGAAAGCTGGAATTTTAAGAGGGTGCTCCCCATCCACGTAGAACTTAATGACTTCAAACTCAGCCTGCAAGTATGTGTCCTCAAATATGGGCCCATGACAATTTTTCACGGGTATGTTGTTAACTGAAGAATTAAAAAAGCTAGAAATCTGAAATTTTAAGAGATTGTCTTTTGGAAGTTATAGTGGCCAGTTTCAATTCTTTTCGCTAGAAGCATCTGCCGGAAAAAACAGTGCCGTTAGCGACAAAAACCCGCGGGGAGCTGTGCAAAAAACGCATCTTCACACTGGCAGTCGGTGCGCCAGCCAGTTATTTTTCCCTTGGACGTACTAAAAATAACTCCAATGATCATCGGCCG